ATGTATGCGTCCACTTTGAATCATGTGATTTTCATACACGCATGTCCCTTGCCACGGCGTATGCGCTAATAATGCGACAAAAGCCACGTCAAAAGAGCTAAACTGAAAACGCATTAACTTCACTCAAAGGATTGCAAAGTTCGGTGGGGGCAAAATGAGCATAAATAAAATAAACAATAAAAAATAAATCAGTATTAAAATGATGATTGCAGTGCAAGACCAGTTATTAACAATGTAAGCATTTATACCAAATATATATATATGTACTAGTGTGCGTGTCCGTAATTGCAACGTCACTCTTGGCAATTCAGTTTTTAAAGGCAAAAAAATTCTTGGAAACTCACAATATGAATTTCAGTTTTGACAAAAAGTATGCTAATACATTTTCGTGCTACACTAATTCATGGTTAGTGTTGATTAATGGACACTCGACGATTTTAATGTCAAATTGGGTACTAAGTATTCATGCAGTAGTGCACTCCATTAAAGTTATAATGTATAAAACCCTTATGAAAACACTGGTATCAATGGTTACACATTTTCAGAAATTGGAACCATAGTTTCTAACAACAAGACTAGTATTTACTACTTTTTCTAATAATATCATTTTAAAATCTGATATATGGGGCAAAGCAAATTATCTTAAAGAATTGTTTGCTTAAATTCTTTTCTGTTTCAACCGAACATATTTTTTATATTCAATTGTAATATCCGAAGCTACAATATCTATATATGTACACAATATACAGGATCCGGGTCCACTCGAAGTGTAACCAATTAAAAAAGCCATAAATTCGGTTTGGAAAATTATTTTTATTTATTTTAAAATACAAAATGCGTGAAAATAATCATAAATTCAGGAGTAATTCACTTTGGCTCGATACGACCACCTTTTGCCTTTACTGACTTGCCGGTATTTTGGCCCACTCACGGTCAATGGCATCTTCAGCAACTCGAGACTGGTGTATTTTTTTCTTCGGACCTTGCTCTCCAAAATGGCATAGAGAGAATTCATTCTTTGGAACCCATTGGATTCGCATCTGGTGAATTCGAGATCCAATATGTGGTCATAATGAAGTTCGAAATGTTGTTTTTCAGCCACTCTTGGTTCATTCGCGCTTTTTGAGACGGTGCTGAGTCTTCCTGGAACGTCCACGGCTTCAAAGACTCCAGAACACTTTCCCGATAATATGTCGTATTTACTTTGACGAAAGGCTCGATGAAAACAATTGGAGAGCGCCCATCTGCGGTGATACCGGCCCAAACCATTATTTGTGGCGAGTGCTGCCTCCTGGTGACCAACCGATGACTTAGATTCTCGTATGAACGATGGTCAAGTAAACCCAATCATTTTGTGACTTTACGAAATGCTCAATTGGAAAAATTTGTTCGTCAGAAAACACAATGTTCGAAATTGACCGCTTTCGGCCAAGCAAAGCAACTGTTTAGCTCTTTCAAGTCTTAGTTGTTGCTTGTTGCTTCGGTGTGAGATCATAGTCCTTTTGGAACTAGTAAGGCTTGACCTTGAGTCTTGAGTTTCAGTTCTTTAGCCATTTGATTGGTACTTCGCCGTGGATTTCGTTCAAGTCGCTTCTTCACTTTCCGAACCATCTCACGTGACGTTGCAGTCTTTCGATGATCACTTCCATGGCGTTTTGCGATGCTAGCAGTATCATTGTAACGAGTGATGGTGCGATAAACAAATAATTTATTCACATTAATTTGTTTGAGCTCACGAACAATTGCTGGCTGTGATTTTCCAGCTAAATATAAATATTACGTTTTAATTCAATCGCAGGTCACTTTCTTTTTGCGTTCACTTTTGGCAAAACACTTTTGTACACTTTTCAACAATACTCCCAACTGTCATTCAACAAATTTATAAGCAGCTGATTCCAGTATGACAGCTGCGCGAACGGTCTGAAGTTGGTTACACTTCGAGTGCCGAACCCTGTACAAAAAATTTCTTAAAAGACCTTACCTTTGATAGACTGGTTCGTATGGCAGCCGTGGACAATATGTATGACAAGCACTTTGATTAGAATCGCTCAGTTTGTATGGTAGATATGTGATATAGTGGTCGGATATCGGCAGTTCCGACAAATAAACAGCTTCTTTGAAAGAAAAATACATCTATCGTTGATAGATAGACGACATGGGGACCTGGATTAAGATCTAACACAAATACTCAGTGGTCATCGATGCTTTAAAAGCTTCCAACACAAATATTGTCATGAGTTTAGTTCATATTTTTCAACGTGTACAGAGTGTATAGAAGACTTTGAACACGTTGAACACGTACTGAATCTTCGCCCTTGGTTTTCAGGAAAAGCTGAAAACCACACTTGGAGATAGTCTAACGTTGAAAACTTTAACTGCACTTATGTGCAAGTCCTCGGTAAAATGAAAAGCTGTCAGCGAAGCGGCAGTTCTAATTATGACAATTTATTTATTGGGGGCATAATAGCTAACTAAATTGTTGAAATCTAACGTAAAAAAGGTTCTGTACGATGTTCGCAATTGCGGCTGCAATTTTGGTATCAAACAAAAATGTCCAAAAGATAGATTATTAATCTGTAGGAAAGTTTTTTTTTTGGGGGGGAAATGGCGATGGTGTGAACATAAAGTATCGAATTTTACCCTTTTTTCGACAGTTTTTCGTTGAAAAAATAAGAAAATTGCAACAAAAAAGAAAACAGAAATTTCACATTCCACAAAAAAAAAACCCTATAGCGACCGTAATAATTTGAATTTCGATTTGAGAGGATGTTTGTTATAGCGTATACTATCCTATAATGCAAAAGTCGATTTCTCGAAAATTTCACAATTATACAATCCCATAAGACTATTTCAAGAAGAAAGAGTGTGGAAAATGTTTACATATTTTCAAAACACTAGTCCATTAGTACTTGACTATTCCAATACGATGTAACAGAACAAAATCATATTGAGAAGATAATATCATATTCGCCAGATGACTGTTTTATAGACATTTCACTCATCGAAATATTGGACAACTAGACAAATGCAATCCTTTTAGTCTATACGAAATTGAAGGATAAAAATGCATTTCATCAGAAACCGTTATTTTCTTGTTAACACGATGAATTCTAAGCATATAAAATACGTGTAAATTAGGCACCTGCGAAAAACTGATTGAGTGGATTAACGCGGCCTACTAATGGTGAAATGTCTCAAAACAGCTGGACAGAAAATAAGCAATCAAATCAAGAACTACTGTAGCAGAGGTATTTTGGAGCGTTGTTTTTCAAACTCGATTACGCAAATAGTTAAATATGTCTGAAGCGCGTGTTTATGTATATTCAGCAGGGAGCCTAAAATATAATAATAACGTACACATTTACGATGTTAGTGATGTAAAACACAAACCTTTGTCAAGTTAATTAGAAGCCTTTATTTACATTCTTACTCTATGTGTATTTTACCACTGCGAATCATTAATTATAACAAATTATGATACAAAAAATGTATGCCAAATGTCAAAAATAGCAGAAAGAGCAATAACAATTAAGCACTAGAAACAAAAATTGATTGCATTGTTAACAGCGTGACTTTTCCGCCATTTTGTATTATTTCAGCTGACATTTTTATAATAAATGCATAGCAGATTGATGCGGTTATATAGCATATGTTCCGCTAAATGTTTTCTAGAGGGGAGAACTAGAAGTAGAGAAAGTAATTTATTTCCAAAAACTTGCCTAAAATTTGTGGTTAGCAATTTTCATTAGACTTAAATTTATATTGAACAATTTGCAAACTAATATTTACAATTACATTTAAAGTGTCTGAAAAATGTGCTTTAAAATTTTCCGCCAATTTGAATACGCTCATGCGATAAATAAGCATATGAGATTTAAACATTCAAAAACAAAACAAATTCTCCAAAAGGCGGTCTACTGATTCTCTAATCACTATATTCGATAGCGATTTCATTTACAATTCCGCATAATAGATCTTCCATCAAGACCTCCATTATCACTTTTAACGACGTCATCATTTGCTGTGCACTTTATATTTGTTACTAATACTTTATAAAGTTGTTAGCTTAATTGATAGTTGTAAATGTGTTCTAACGTGACAACTGCTGCAGTACTTGTTTATAGCCAACAACATATAAATAGTCAGAGCGAAAGAACAAAAGCAAAGGAATGCCATAGCTGTAATGAAACTCGGCTATAATAACAATAATTGCGTTAGAAATGCTTTTGACGCTGGCACTGACTGGCACCATGACGGCATTACGTCGGCACCATGTATCAGCATGAAATATATTCATATTCACATCAGAAAGTTTTGATATATCTATGAAACGAAATAAATATTACAGATACTCTATTTTATTGAATATGGAGCCAAGTATAGAACTTCAAGCAAGTGAACAAAGCTCTCTGAGCGTCATTTACTTTGAAGTGGTCAGAAACTATTATCTTACACATGGATCAGGCAGCTCACGATATCCTGTCTTAGACCAACTATCCTCTGGGTTGCCAAAAAACTTATGAAGAAGAGCCAAAGTGAGAAGACGAACCATCTCTCCTCGGGGTTGTGTGCTGGGTTTGGGACCAGCCACATATTTTTTCACAGCCTTTTCAGAATATTGATTTTTTTTTTAACACTGAGGAAGGTATTATATATTTTAATCGCTCTTCAAAATGTAACGACATTATAGCCCTTCTTATAATGCTAATGATTTCAAAATCTGTATATTCCCAGAGATTGGCAAGCGTCTTTATTATTAAATCATTATTAAGTTTTTTTCTAGAAAATTACATAACTTAACAAAGCATGTGTGCAGCGGGGACTTAATTACGTAATACGAGTAAATGCTAAGTAGTAGTTAAACCATAAACGCTTATTAAACTATTTAAGCGCACACATATAACTGTATGTCAGAAATACCCATAAAAGAGTAACTACATAAATGTTGGTGAGTATATATCAGACATACATATAGGTTATAAATTTATGTGAATACTTACGCTGCATCGACTGAGGCGATTTTCTTCATTGGCTCCTGTACGATCAGCGCTAAATTGAATGCCAGCCAGAGGGTGATGAGACGTGCTCGCGGCAATAGCAACGCTGTTGTGCATCTATCCCACGTTGATATGCTACCACCGCCGTAAGCGCCGCCACTACTGACACCGAACCGACTACTACTACTGCTGCTGCTAAAGGCCATATTGATGCGAATCGAAGTATTACGATGCTATATTTACCAATATAACCAATAACGAGGGGGCCGATATTGCCGTTCTAACGGAATGAAATGGCAATTGCTTGTATTAATAAAGTTAAAGCTGTGGATGTTGACGACGTTTGCTTGTGATGTCGGGGTGGAGGGAGGAGGAGCTTACTAGTTACAGCATATTACTCACACACACACATGCACGCGCACACGCTGGCCGATGATGGATGAGTTCTTGTGATAGGCGTTTGTTGTTGTTGTTTGTTGTTGTTGCCGTTTGCTGCTGCTGTGGGCGTTGTGTATTTTATAACTTTGATTATAAATTTTTATAATACTTTTTGCTTCTCCACCTGCCGTGCTGTGGCCTTTTATTTTTGTTACTTAGTTCCTCAAGTATTAGTTAGCTTTATTGATGATATCGATGTGCAAGTCTTGTTGATTTTGTCTATTCTGCTGCAGTGACGCTGGCAGCTTTCGTTTGCTATTTTTATCGCCTTCCTTTTGACGCCCGGACGCTGTCTGCTTTATGCACTCGCTCTGCTGTGCTTATGAATATTTAGCACAATTTTATCTGTTCATTTCTCTGGAATATATTATATTACTTTTCTATTATGCCACAAGACCCACTCGATACTGCCGTCAGCGTCAAGATATTGCCGCGCGTCATACCAAAGGAAAAGTATTTTGCCAACGCTATGACGCTTTCCTATTTGTGATTGTGACACAGTGAAAATAGGAAATATTTGCCAATCTGCAGCTGTTGTGTCAGTGGTAATATTGGTGCTTCTTCTTCCGCTGTTGTTATGTTTGTTGCACGTGTTTTATTTTAATGGCAGGATAACTGATTGCTTTGCTTGGTATTCGCTAGCAAATAGTGCTCGGTAAAGTGTTATCTTCCTTACCGTTTGTCACTGCAAGCGTTGGTGTCCTCCCTAAAGGTTCTGGTTCTAACGCTACAGTTCTACCATTTGACTAGCTAACTACAAATATGTCAAACCTATGCATTTGATGCTTCTTGAGACGCGTCCTTCGTCGCATATATACACAGCTATTTCTTCCACTGTTACTTTTTTGATTTTGTCACGGTATTATTTTCGTTACTAAGTGCGTGCTTATTGACATAGTGTTCTATGTATTTTTTATCTACTATTATTCGTGCTTTGCCGGCGTGCGTTATGCTTTACGCTTATAACCACGAGTCGCATGAAAAGATTACAGAAGAACGAAAGAATATAAAAATAATATAAAAGAAAAAGTTGTCTGAAACTGAAACACAACTAAACGTTCGTTTTGCTTTCAGTCACAACTCGCGTGTGCAAGTCTTGCGACCACCGCGGACGCGCGACTGCCAATTGTCTTTCCTGCGCTCAGTCAGCGGAATGTGTGCGTGCCAAGTCAAAACGTTTTTAGGGTACAGCAATAAAATTAATAACACCACAACAACAAGTGCAAACGCAACTACACGCAGTTAGCCTTTGTTTTTTTTTCCAATTTTAATTGTTGTTTGTGTTACACAAGTTTGCTGGCGTGGCTTGACATTAGCAGCCCGCTGGCTAGCGCCGCATAATTCGTGGGTGGTCGCGTAGACGCCAGTGCCAACGACAATTTCGCGAAAAGACTGCAGTTGTTTTATGTTTGTTTTTGTTTTTGGTTTTTTGTTTGACCACCTTTTCGCATTTGTTACAGATTTTTATCGAATACCTCGGTTCACAGTTCCAGTTTACTTTTCCTGCTTAATTTCCATTTAATTACTCTTTTCGCAGGCTGTTCTTTCTGTTGTTACGCATTGTTTGGTTGAAGTTTCTTGACTGCTCCACGCCTTTACGGTGTCGCTTAGTTTTATTATAATTGCAGGTGTTGCGTGTGCGTGCAGTGCTTTCAGGTTAATTTCATCTTCAGTTATTTGCTTGTGAACTCGTTCAACCGAGCTGCTAATTTTGAGTCCAATTATGTGATTTTAGTGGCAGTTACCTTTATTCAACTGCACAGTTTTACACTTTTTTCATTTTATTTGTAGTTATTTATGGTTTTTTTTTTATTTATTTATTTATATTTTTTTTTGTTTTGTTTTGCTATAATTTACGATTTATTTTCAATATTTATATCGCTTACGCCGCTTCTCTGCACCACTCTGTTTTCGATTTGTTTGTTTGCTATCTCTCTTTTTCGGTACTTATAAAAGTTCTACATTCGCCACGGTACACGGTGTCTTCTGATTTTTAGCGCATTTCAAGTTTCACATTTTTGCTGAAGTGCACACATTTTATTTATCGCTACAGTCTTTTTCTTATTTTTACTAATTGATGACATGTTTATGAATTTGCATATTTTGTAATTTTGTTATCTAAATATCATTTTGAGATGCTGGAAAAAAATTTGTTGTTAAAAAATTGGTTAGGTTAAATGTTCGAACTTTTCTTATATTTTTTTGTAGAATTGAGTTATAGTCAGTTTGTATTTTACAGAAAATTCACTGAATTTTCCTTCCAGTTCACTTTAAGTTTAATGTGGATCATAATTATATTCAGTGTTTAGCACATATGTCTAACGTCTGATTGCCGATAATTATAATTTTTTCCTTGCATATACCTACATATATACCTCGCCACGTTCCAGAGGCTTAAATTCACTTTTTTCTTTTAATTTCAATTTCCCTTAAATTTCAGAAATTGATTTATATTTATATCACTTTGATTATTTGATTTAAATAATATTTATTCCATGTATATATATATACATATTTAATTGCTGCATATAATACACCGTTATTGTACAATTGGAATACGTAACCTAACCTAATATAAATTATATAAACGAGTCCCTTATAATATCGAATATAACACTACTCAAAAAATGTGAAGAAAAATTATTCGGCTGATATGCTGAACGGTGTGGCATATTTGAGTCAGAGATGTCCGATGATTTAGTCAATATCATGCATCGAAACTTGACATTGATGTATGCGATGCGATGCATCCAATAAAGAAATTGCTGCACCGAAAGCACCACTTTTACCGGAAGTAATAAAAAAATAATTTAAAGACATTGAAACTGGAAATTAAGTTACATATATTGTGATAAAAAAGCAACCGGAAATTGTAATTAAACTTCTCGTGTAAATAATATTTCCAAACAGTTTACTGCCTTAATTACTGTTCCAAATATGTACATATGTAGTGCGTTCGGAGTTTTACAAAGGACATAAATTTAAAACAAGGAATTTGTCTCAAATTTGTAATTCTAACCAAATTTCGTGTGCGTAATTGTTCCAAATGTTGGAAAAGGCTTACGGTGATTCAGTTTGATCAAAAACACAATCCTAGGAGTGGTACAAAGCCTTCAAAGACGGTCAAGAGAAGACGTGCTTACGTACAGTGATGATATTAAAAAAATGAAGGATACGGCGCTTGAAAATCGTAGAGAAGTATTAAAGATATGGCAAAAGAGTTTAACATCTCTTGCGAGTCCGTTCGCGTTCTTGCTCGATTCAAAAAATGATCACCACAATAAGCCTCTCGGGGCTTATGAGCTTACATGCACACAAGTTAACAGCCATCGGAATGGTACCGGTTTTCAGTCAATCGAAGATGTACACGATGCGTTCCAAAGTAAACAGGATTTAAAAAAAATAATAAACAGAACAAAAGATTTTTTGGCAAAATCAATTTAATTTATTCAATATAGTCTCCTTATATCGGGTGATTTTTTTGAGGTTAGGATTTTCATGCATTAGTATTTGACAGATCACGTGGGATATCAGACATGGTGTCAAAGAGAAAGATGCTCAGTATGCTTTGACATTTCATCATGAATAGACTTACTAACGAGCAACGCTTGCAAATCATTGAATTTTATTACCAAAATCAGTGTTCGGTTCGAAATGTGTTTCGCGCTTTACGTCCGATTTATGGTCTACATAATCGACCAAGTGAGCAAACAATTAATGCGATTGTGACCAAGTTTCGCACTCAGTTTACTTTATTGGACATTAAACCAACCACACGAATGCGTACAGTGCGTACAGAAGAGAATATTGCGTCTGTTTCTGAGAGTGTGGCTGAAGACCGTGAAATGTCGATTCGTCGCCGTTCGCAGCAATTGGGTTTGTGTTATTCGACCACATGGAAGATTTTACGCAAAGATCTTGGTGTAAAACCGTATAAAATACAGCTCGTGCAAGAACTGAAGCCGAACGATCTGCCACAACGTCGAATTTTCAGTGAATGGGCCCTAGAAAAGTTGGCAGAAAATCCGCTTTTTTATCGACAAATTTTGTTCAGCGATGAGGCTCATTTCTGGTTGAATGGCTACGTAAATAAGCAAAATTGCCGCATTTGGGGTGAAGAGCAACCAGAAGCCGTTCAAGAACTGCCCATGCATCCCGAAAAATGCACTGTTTGGTGTGGTTTATACGCTGGTGGAATCATTGGACCGTATTTTTTCAAAGATGCCGTTGGACGCAACGTTACGGTGAATGGCGATCGCTATCGTTCGATGCTAACAAACTTTTTGTTGCCAAAAATGGAAGAACTGAACTTGGTTGACATGTGGTTTCAACAAGATGGCGCTACATGCCACACAGCTCGCGATTCTATGGCCATTTTGAGGGAAAACTTCGGAGAACAATTCATCTCAAGAAATGGACCCGTAAGTTGGCCACCAAGATCATGCGATTTAACGCCTTTAGACTATTTTTTGTGGGGCTACGTCAAGTCTAAAGTCTACAGAAATAAGCCAGCAACTATTCCAGCTTTGGAAGACAACATTTCCGAAGAAATTCGGGCTATTCCGGCCGAAATGCTCGAAAAAGTTGCCCAAAATTGGACTTTCCGAATGGACCACCTAAGACGCAGCCGCGGTCAACATTTAAATGAAATTATCTTCAAAAAGTAAATGTCATGAACCAATCTAACGTTTCAAATAAAGAACCGATGAGATTTTGCAAATTTTATGCGTTTTTTTTTTTAAAAAAGTTATCAAGCTCTTAAAAAATCACCCGATACTTCAATATAGCTTGTTTCACGGTCCAAAAGCATGTCGAACGACGACGTTTTTGCTCTATGTCCGCCAGTATGCCGGTGCAAGCTTTTTTAATGGCCACTACGTCTGCTTTCCATTCATGGCTAAATGCATTTTTCCGAAGAGAAAGAAGTCGCACGATGCCATATCAGGTGAATACGGAAGGGGTTAGAAGAATTTTTGGCACAAGAATATTATATCTGGTGGGAATGACTTTGAAGGCGACAAAAAATATTGTGGAATAATTAAATATTTTGCGTGTTATTTACAATTTCGGAATACTTTTGACTTTGTTGAATAAATTTGAAATTTATCAGTTTTTATTAAGTTTTTTTGGAAACCAATTGTATCTTATTTATATGGAACTTAATATACTTAACAAATTGTTTAATTATGTAAATTTACTAATGGGAGGGCACTAACTTAAAATGTTCTATCACTTACAGCTATTTTTGTAGTTTTAGTAAATGCTTGAGGCTTAACCCCACCACTCATTGACTACAACTCAAAAAATACTTCGTATTAGGAAAACTTTACTATCTCTTCTGTTTTTAGCAACCCAAAATTAGAAAGGATGTTATTATATGAACTAGTTTCCACCATTATTTTTATTTACTATATTAATGATATTAATATTTACTATATTAATTATATTAAGAAATAACATTTAAAATACATTTTTTTAATTTCCAAAAACTTTTTTTTTTAATTTCAAATTTTTAAACATAAAAATTTTACTTTTTATACCAAATAACAGATTGAAAAATAAGTGAAAATATTAGTAATCAGAAATATAAAAAACTAACGTATGTCGTGTTATACTTCATTTACAATATGTAGAGCTGGCACAGAGCCACCAGCTTAAATATTCTAATGCAATGTTCCAGAAACTTTCAAATCAGCTATAATCAATTTTAAAATCTGATTTTGTTTGTAAAAATTAACAGAAAATTCAATTTTTAGTATATTTTCAATTTCGAAATATATTTTCAATTTTATATTACGATATTACAACTGAAACTTTAAAATTTCAACTTTTAAAAATCGAAAGTTTAATTTTCAACAGACTCTCCTTTTGAAAATTTTAATTTCCAAATTAATTTAATTGGATGGGAAATATAAGTTCTGCTGTTGTCAATATTCCATTAAAAGAATTTGCTTATAAAAAACAATATTGTTTCTACAAAT